TGTTGCCAGACAAAAGAACAACAGCCAAGCGCTCTGCCTTACAAAAGGGGATGCTCAGATAACGTCCAAATGAGGTTCTAGCACACGGTCGCAATGCTGTGGCATACTCCTGGCCCCCTGTATCTTGTTGACGCATTTACATGACGCTCAAGAAACGGCCTGTGACAAGGATCACATACAAAGATTTTGCAAGCCTATCATGAAAGAACGCTCCTGAAAATACTTTGACGCTGGTGTGTTTCAGGGATACTTCTTCTGAAAGGGGCTTGGGGCATCTAAGTAGATGCCGCGCGCTGGCTCACGCGTCTCGTGACAATCATCATGTCATAGGCTTGGCTTCCCACGAATAACATGGCATTCTGTAATCTTCTGTACTTACCCTGGGGGTTCCACACCCAAATTGCTGCCGCATCCCCATGACAAGACTGGCGGAAGTTGGGGCTACCAACAGAGGGGCAAGGCAACATTCAACCAATACGCAAATCCCAGTGCTCGCCTAACGCCACAAAAACAAAGATGAGGTGCTATCCACTGTAGGTGGTGCAGGCAGACAATGCGTGACACCTTGTGTCCAAGGTCTAGGCTCTAGCTCCGAAACAATGTTGGTGTTTTCTTGATCCTCCGTATGATGACACGGAATACACACGCCTCACCGCTTGGCACTCTCAGCGCACGAAGCCCAAGCCCTGAGTCCATTAATGATTGTAGTTGAATCGTAGGTATTAGCAAGGAATTCACAACTCAAGTTATGAGCCCATGGAAATACTAACAGCAGTTTTTGTGTAAGTTATCTGTGTAGTCGGTACATCCCTTGTGTTATCCCCCACACGCCAAAACCTAAACCCTTAAACAAAAGCCCGGAACCAAGCCCCAAAGCAACAGCAACAAGAAACAAAACAGATGGTCGGCCAGCCCCCAACCCAAAGCCCTAAACCTACAACAATCCAAGCTCTAGACCTCCAAACCCCTACCCTAAGAAAAAAAGAGGCCGGGGGTACAGGTGGGGTCGACGCGAAATTCGAGCAGGCTTCGCACCACCTGAAAGCTTGGCAATCTCTTGTCCCTTGTCTTGGAACATGGAACCCTAAACCCCTAAACCCTAAACCCTAAACCCCTAAACCCTAAACCCCTGAGCCCTTAAACCCAACCACCCACTAATAGTGACCACAAAGGTAATGGTAATTATATTTGGGTCCTTGTATATTCCTAGTATACCACTATAAGTGGGTGGGGGCCCAACGTGGATTGCATTGCGGATATGGGTGGCATTTCGGGTTTAGGGCTTAGCTTTCAGAGGTTAAGGGTCCCTGTTTTGGGAGTGCCTGTATCAAGGAGTACAGTGTTTGGCGTATATAAGGGGAGAGAGACTGTATGTGCCTCAGATAGACAAAGATCTGCATATGAGCTATTGTCTAAACTCCTAGTATCCCTCTTAATATCCCCTATAGTAGTCCCCTATATAATCCCCTATATAACCCCCCTTTAAGGAGTTTAGACTATAGTTCATATGAAAGCATAAGCCTTGGGAATCAGGGCTTAGGGTGTAAGAGTTGCTCAAAGCCAGTAGCTTTGTTGGAAGGGATGGTAGAAGCTCTTAGACAGGGAAAACACCTTCCAGGGAAAACTACAATGTATCAAATACTATGACTGAACATATTTCTGCTTGCACCTTTGCCTAAGCAAAGGGAAATTCAAATGTTCGTTGTAGAAACTTTCTCGAATGGTTCAGAGTTGGTATTGCTGCAAGCTTTCGAGGAAGTATGTAAGGCGATATATTTGGATATCATCGCCATGGTTGTAAAAATGAGAGAGGGAGTTTCTCAAACTTTCCAGGGTTGCGGGTTGGTACCCAGAGGTCTCTATGGCCTCCCCCCATTTTCACCTTGTATGGGCCCATGGACCGAGGAGTCTCCTGGGCTTCCTGAAGCAGATCCTTGGGGTCAGGGGCACCAAGCCTGGAATCCTGGAAATTGATGGCTTCAGCCAGCCCTGCTCAGAACAACAAAGCCCCACATTCAACTGTTATCTTAGAGAAGCCAAAGCTTGTAGAGCATTCATCTCCACACATTATGCAACCCAACATTCATGCATGTGCTTGCGCCGCTGGCGTCTTTATGAACCAAAAAACCACGAAGCTTACAAGCCCCACATCCCACATAACCTAGGTCCTAAATCCCAAGCTATGCGGCGCCTCAGTTTTGCTGTTAAGGACAGCCACCCAGAGGGAGTCCCGCAACTCCTGCCAGGTGAATTCTATTGTCAGAAAGGCTCAAGGCTCAGGATTCAGAATTCGGAAGGAGAACACATACGATCACTACTTTTATTACTGTTATTATCATGGCTAATATATTCCTACTGCTATTCATTAGCTGCCAGTGGGGATACCATTTCCACAGGAGATGTTTGGATTCTTGGGCTGCTTCTTTCGTAGGATCGGATTTCATCCATCCTTTTGAGCAACAGATGGGTTTGGATCAAGGTGGGAGGTGCAGTTTAACGACTATCGCGCTCTCAAATGCCCGGGGATGAGCTGATATAAGATGAAGAATGTGCATGGTTCTGAGGGCTGTGCAAGACGTTCACCACTACCTTAGTGCTTTTGCGGTTCCTGCTTGTAGGCTGGACCCCTTAGATTAGGATTAACACAATCCTGAACTGGAGCCTCATACGCGTAAGGCTTCCTTTACCATGCTACATACCTACTACGTCCGGAGGGTTGTCTGCTTGGGGTGCCCGCTTCTATTCTAAACCCGCCTGCGCGCCAATGAATGGATTGGTGTAGAGAAGCCGCAAAACCACCTCCGTCGAAAAAAAAAGAAAAAAAATCAGTTGGAGGATCGAGTTTGGGGCCTAGGGTTTCTTCATAGATTCCCCTACCCCAATTTACTCCCCTCCCTCCTTTAGTATAGAAGAAAGGTAGCAGGGGGACCCATGAGTTTTGGGTTTGAGGTTTATAGGGCTCATGTCTTTGAGAGTTTAGTATAATGGCTTCCCCCTAAATTTAAACCCCCCTAATATTAAATACGGGTTCGCCAAAATTTCAAATCCTGAATCTGCCCCAAGACTATCTTAAAAGGGCCAAGACTAAAGTTAATTGCCGCTCGGATCCTCTGAGTTAGAGGGGGGTTTAGCACGAGTCTTAAGGAATAAGGCCCTAATGTGAAATAATTCCTAATTCCCTAACAAGGCCCTATTTGAAATAGTCCCTAATAAGGCCCTAATTTGAACTGGTCCCTTGATTATTAGATTTAGTCGAATTTCGTACGATGTCAAAAAGATTTCAATTACCCCCCCTAATGTTCGGGTCGTACGATAAAACACAACCCCCTCCTGATATTAGATACAGGCGGGAATATTTACCTTAAGGGGGGGGAGCCCTTTAATGTTAGGGGGAAAGGATTACCTAGCGTTCAGGGCTTTCCACGACTGGGGCTTCGGTTTCAGGATTGGCATTTAGGGCTTAGGATTTAGGGGTGTAGGGTTTAGGTTTTAGAGTTGGGGGTTTAGGGTTTCGGGTTTGGGGTTAAGGGTCTAGCCTTTTCGGGTTCAAGGCTTTCAAGGTTGTATGGCTGAGGGTTCAGGGTACTACAGTTGAGGTCTCACATATTGATTGGAATATGGCACCGGAATATCCTACACATACATATCCCTAAGGAACCAAGTACCCAATAATGACATACTCGCCCAAGACCGGAACTATACCCACTATATATTACCCAAATTTAAGTACCCGATTGTTGAGTACTTGGACCCCGACGGTATCAATATGTAAAGTGTATCTGAAGGCCTGTCGCACCGTCATTCAGGTCTCTCTGTAAAATTGGATTCCGTGGCTCCAAATACGACATCAAATACTGTGCCTGGGAATGGGGACTTGTAGATGCTTGCTCGCAAGTGGAGGTAGAATAGTATTAGCACTAGTATGAGTTGTAGTACGAATAACAGTATGCATTAGTTTTCGTATTAACATTGATACCAGTATTAATCCACCACGTTGTAAAGAAGAGCTGTTTGTGCTTTCTGTGTCTAATAATTCGTTTGTGCTTTCGTACCTTGATCCCTCTAAACGCTATGATATCAGGCTAAGTCGGTCGCGCAAGCCCTGAAACCTTCACCTAGGCCCAAGCTGTAGCTAATGTAGACCCCTGATTAATAATCCCCCTCTCCTTACTAGGATTTATAATAGGGATCCTAACATTAAGGCCCATAAAAGGAGGGGGTCTCTTAATCATGGGTCTACATTAGGCATAACCCTGCAAGGCTTTGAGAACAAGTGCCCTAGGGCTTGATTCATAGTCGTTTCCCAAACCTGGATGAAGCCAGGTTTAGGGTTTAGGCCCTAACCCATAAGCCAGAAACCCCCTAAACGCTGAACCCTAAACTCCGAAGCCTAAACCCTAAACATAACCTACGGCCCATGAAGAGGAAGGTGACCAAGACCATGCCGAAGTCATAAGCCCCCTGTCCCCAGAATCCTCTCACTAAATGAGCTAAAGTCTAGGCTCCTTCAAGGGGTTATATAGCGGGCTACATAGGGGACTACTATAGGGATTATTAAACTAGGAGTTTAGACTATAGCGTTTCAATGGATGACAATCATGGTATTCCAGCCGCCTTGACGCGAAAAGAACGGACTTGTCTTCAAATCCTACGTCACAAAAAGAAGACTATCTAATTACTATACTCTGGTAGTTTGCATTTTCTTTTCCATTATACAAAGACATTCTAATATATCCCCAATATAGACCTCCGTCGCAGATCCAGATCCGATGAGGCTCATTCCCAGGATCCCGAGCCCAGAACATCAATACCTCCCCAATTTATGTACAACCAAAATTCTATGTTGGGGCTATATTAGGGTATATTGGGATAATGGAAAAGAAAATGGAAACCACTATAGCATAGTAAGCTCCACCTATCACAAGCTAAGACCCAAGACCTGAACACTTTTTTTGCCAGCTTGGGAAGTCCTCACCGAAGGAAAACGTCCTTCAGGTGATTCAGGTCCAGTTCCGGAAGAGGCCCGACACCGTGACTGCTGCTTCCTGCAAGAACGAGGATCTAGAATCTAAGGCGTACACCCAGGAGCCCAGGTGTCCGTGTTCTATGTACATTGGGCCCAATGTGAACCTATGTATCTTTGAGGCCTAGGTGTGTGCTGTTTGGGTGCTTGGGCCTTTGGGGCGGTGGGGAAGGCCTTTGGGGGGGGGGGAGGGGCACCGGAAACACAGGTCCGAGGTGAGATTTTCTCCTTGCCATGACAGTTGCCGGCATGGGACTTGAAGCTCTTCCCCAAAATATCCCAAGTAGCTGCATGGTATAAAATAGGGCTTCTGTACCGGAATTACAAGGGCGTAGGGCTTAGGTTAGTATCCCCGATTTTGGTGCTTAGGATCCTCTGGGTTAAGGTAGAATTGACAGGTGGTCATGTCAATACTGCTCTTCGTCTGAACCGCAAGGCACCCTGGGTAGTGGGAATCACTGCTGAAACAGTGTTGCTCTGCACCTTGAACAATGAACCCTACCGAAGTCCTGCGCTCTGAAGATCAATCGGTCGTCAAACTTTCTGGCGCCAAGTATGGAATCGGGGAAAGATTTAGTTATAGAGGTTATCACAGGGAGTTACATAGGGAAAAATGTTTCAATAGCAGTAAGTAAGGGATGAGAATAATGTGTTGATGCAGAGCCAGAAAAATCGCGGAAGACTAGTTTTGCTTTGTAATCAGCTTGGAGCCCGAAAAGGTGTGGACAAGGTCCATCGGCAATAACAAAGCGTGACAATGATATCAATATTGTCCACCAAGCGAAATATCCCGATTCCTCCTGGTTGAACTGCTAGTACTACGAGCTGCACTACCCAGTCCTACCCGCAACCCCTGGTTTATTATCGCGACCCCCCCTTCCGTAGATGAAAAACGCAAAGCAAGATCTGGTTGACAACTCTACTTCCCCAGCCAAATTCAAAAAACCTACACCCTAAACCGCAAGCCCTCGAAAATCCCAAACTCTAAACCCCCCAAATCCTCAGTCCTTAGCCCTAAACCCTGACTCATAAATCGAAGCTCCAAACTGTTTTAACTTGCCTTGGCTCCCCGAGGGAGCACACCGGACGACCAGATGGCTTCCGACCTTTCACTTCCCTAAGGTCTTGCGTTTAGCAGCTAAGGGGTATAGGGTAGGGCTTAGGGTTTAGGACTTTGGGTTTAAGGCAGAGCTCAGCTTTTAGGCGTCGGGATTTAAGGCTTTAGATGCAAGATGCAGGGTTTTATCCCTCGCAACTAGGCTAATCGCACGGCGCCATTCAGAGAGCTGCACATGATGATTTGTCACAACTACTAGCTGTGTTACTAGCTGCCTAATATGGTATTTTGTCATTTGCTGCTTAGGAGTTGAGAGATTCCCTGAGGGGTTGGGCATGGAATTGAGGAGCGAAGGTTATTCTTGGTGAGGGGTCCAGGTACGGTGCTTGGGGTCAAGGAACAAGAGCCAGGGAATAAGGAGATGCAAATCTATAAATCGCATGGGTCATGCCGGAGCTCTGCGAGAATCTCCCAGCAAGCACACGCGTCGTGCAAGCATGTAGGATTACAAGGGGGCTGCGGCGATCCCTGCTAAAAGGTTCTGTGGCGGTAGTTTCAGAAGCTCTTAAACTCAGACTTTTGAGATTGAACGGCTCCAGACCCATGAAAAGCTGCTAGTGGTTTCAAGAGAACCCTACACCCAAGAATTCAAAGCTCGGGCTGCGACACAATCCTTGGAGCAGGCGGTAACTGGGCCTGCACTGAAGGCAGGGGTCATCAGCGCTTTTTTTGTTTAGGGCTTGGGGTTCAGGGTTTTAAGGCTTTCGGGTCGGTCTAGGGAACGATATAGGATAGAGAGGGTTTAAATTAGGGTTTTAGTGCTTAGGGCCGCGAGGATTTCTCAAAATGGGATACCATTGTTCACTCCAGGAATACAATGAAATTAACGGAGTTGCTAGGGGCCTCATCCATAAGTAATGGATAAGGAATGTTTCTCAACTAGCCATGAAGGGGCTTCGGACTTTGGATTTAGGGTGACGCAATGGGGGTTTGGAGTTAAGGATTTAAGGGTTTGTGAGGGATGAGCCTTCGACTTTTGGGGATTCTGGTGGGGATACACCCTACAAAAGCCCAACAGCCCGAAACCGTCCTAAGCCCTCAACTGTAAACCTATAGGGCGTATTTGGCCCTGCCTTGACTCTTATTCAGCCTGTTGCAATCCCCTAAGGGAATGAAGGGGACTTCACGAGGGATCATAGATTTGAGAAGCTTACATATTCTACTTATACATATGTGGTTGCTAGACTTAGGGAACTTCTATTTGGGAGCAACAAAACCATTCATGACAGAAATGCTACTTGAGACAGGACCCAGAAGGGCTCCGGAAAGAGGCCTGGAACCAGCCCACAGCAAGCGCAAATTAGGATCGCATTCTGGTACCCAAATCTATTAAGTGCCGATATGTATTCTGCAACCAGAAGGGGCCCATCATTTTGAGAACAACCCTAATTCATGCATCGGCGCACTGTTTGGGGCCTCGGAGAGCTCCGGGCTATCAATGTCGAAGATCAGAACCTAGACGGTTTTGAATTGAGGGTTCAGGGCCCGGTGGGTAGCCAAAACTGTCATCGAGAATCGAGACTGCAAACCCTGAACCCTAAAACTCGAGGCCGTGAAGCTGCAACGGTCCCCAACAGGATAAATCCCAAAGCCTAACACCATATGAGGGCTTAAGGCCATTTGGAATGGAGCGCTCCCTACCTGAAACATCTCTAAAAGACCCCCCTAGGTAGCCTTCAAAAAATGTGCGTGTGTATGTACGTATTATGCTGACTTGGCTATCCTGACTATCTGTTAGGCCTTGGGGTTAGGAATTTACTCCGGAATGAAGCCTGTGTCCACCGTCAAGTAGATATACCTGAAGTTGGAGATGACATAGCCCGTAGTCATGGGATTCTGGTGTCCCCAATGCCCAAAATCAGTACTCTGAAAGTATCACACCCAACTATCGTATGACGACAATAAGGCCCTCATTTGGGCCTAAGGAAGCATTCAATTCCAGAAGCCTGTGCCCAAGCGGACCCTTGGGGAGTCCCTTTTCGACCTCTGACAAAGACCCCACAGTAAGTAGGGTTGAATGGGTTTGGAAAACACTGGGTTGTTGTAAGGAACTTCTTTAAAATTCACTATAATAAGGAAACCCTCTCATTTACTCTATACCCCTATTACGGTCACTTAACTCAATCCCTAAGGGTCCAAGGACCCACATGATAGTGTTTTCGGGCCCAACTACCATAATAGTAATGGTGTTCGGACCCTAAAACCCTATTATTTGGCTCCGTGGACCCTTAGGGAATGTTGTTTAACAGCAGCCCAGAGAAGGATCTGAGGACTTTGGGCTTAGGGAATAGAAAAGCGCTAAGGGAATCGCTAGCTCTTCGGCATTGCAAAATAGAGTAGTTTCCCAAAATTTAAGGGTACCTTTAAGAGGGGAATAATGGTATATAGGGTTTAGGGTTGAGGAGTTCCAATAATTAGGGGTACCTTTTTTGGGGTCCCTATAATAAGGATTATATTATAGAGTTGGGTCCCCCCTTAAATTAGGGAAACTCTGAAATATGGCTCAGGAGCATGGCTGGAATATGATCCGGGTACCATTATCGTCCCCCCTCAAGTAGATAGAATATGGCTTTGGGTATCTTATAATAAGATCCCCATATACCCCATATTCTATCTACTTAAAGGGGGACTAGACCATTAGCAATTTGATCTCTTGATTTTCCTCCTGGGCCTGGGGCCCTCAGGAACCTACTGCGCATGGAGGAAAGCCTACACAACTCAGGATGCTTAACGTGCTGTAACTATCTCCAGAACTATCATAATTTACCGTGGTGTTATGGGTTCAATTAGTAAACCCTCTATACTACCCCCCTAGGTTCCCCCCCCTTAATTAAGGTTATTTAGGGATAATTAGGCTTAATTGAGGTGGGAACCTAGGGGGGGTAGTATAGAGGGGGGGTATTAATTGAACCCATGAAGTGTTGGAGTACTCCTGCTTCTGGTGTGGTGTTCAGATATGATAGTCCTACAGGCCTTGACAACCTGCGGACCTTGAAAAAAGTTTATCCAGCCGGGGCCGGCTCTCCCGAATAGGGGACCACATTAGGGCCTCTGGGTTCTAAGAATATGGACACGATTTAGTCTAGGGGTACATAAGGCCTCCCCCTATTCTTGGGAAACTACCAAAATGTATATTGGGCTTAAAGGCTTAGGGGCTTCCAACCGTGAAACAGCTCAAGGCTGAAGGATTTAGGTCCGGGCATTGCCCATTACTTGCTGGTTCTTAGTAGGGATAGACGAATATACTATATAGGGTTCTGTAAGAATAATATGCCCTTATTCCCGGAGAACTTTTAAGCTTATCGTTCTTTTTCATGGTCTGGGAGCTAAAGAGCGGCTTTGATACACACAGTGTTACCCACACCTCGAAGTTTTCAGCCAAGGAACCCCATATCTTCAACCGACAAGTTCCAAAACATCGGGTTGTAAATTGAAACAAGCTGTGTGGGTTTCGTATTTCGAGCACTCAATGGACCAGCTCTACACTTTAACGATCATGGGGTGGTAGCAACCTCTTAGCAACCTGCTCATCTACCTACTTGAAACATGAAAGACCTGTGCCGAAAGCTACTCAAGTCCCGAAACCTCACAGCCCTAATGCAGACATGGTCCCAGACGGTCACATGTGAAATCTACATGCTCTAGGCCTAAAACTGATCCCAAACCTTCGCTCCTACTCCCCACCTGGTTCCAAGCCCGATGTGCAGTTTAGGCTTGTGGGGGTTCCCAAAATTAGGGGTACCATTTTGGGGTCCCTATAATAAGGATTATAGTATGTTGGGGTCTATATTTGGGTCCCCTATTCTTGGAAACTACCATTTAGAGGGTTGGGTTTAAAGGTTTAAACGTATCAAGGGCTTCAAGTTTTCCGCTTCAGGATGCATCCTGAAACTTCCTGACCTTAAACATGTATCCCATGTACACTTTAGGATGCAGAGTATCCACGCAACCTAAACTCATGAACTAAAGCATCTTCCTAACAGACGATGCCTTGGCATTTCAGATGTGAGGCGCGGTTTGTGTGGTTGAGTGACCAGAGTTATTTTTTTTTAAGTTCTTATAATAGAACACCCCATACTCGAAACGAGGAGATACATATTCAAGCATAAGGGGGATGTCGGCTCCCTGCCTGTTAGGCTAAAAGGCTAAAACTCCAACCCAAAGCCCTTACCCACAACCTAAGTCGGCACTTTGCACAACACTCGCGCTGAACTTTCACTACTTATAGCTCGAAACCTTCTCTACAAAGCCCACATTCCGCCTCATTGCGGCCACGTCGTAGGACAGGGTAGGGGATGTACAAGCTCTGCTGCGGCCCCACCTGGTCGACGATGTCGGATATACTTATGTAGGGTTTAGGGATTTCAGATAGATTTGGGATAAAAAGGGGCTCCTGTGCAGATACTTTTGGGCCCAAGTATATCCCATGCAGCAACTTCGGCCTTAGGGTCTGCAGGTTACAAGCATGGAGGGTTTCCCAAAATGGGGTACTTTTTTGGCGATCTAGGGATTATAGTATTTTGGGGTCTATGTTGGGGTCCCCCCATTTTGGGAAACTACCAGATGGGCTGAATCACGGCTCTCCCAGATCAAGGTCCCTATGATACCTAGCTATTATGTACATATGAATCTACAGGTAGACTTTGAAACCGGCAACCCCAGAAGCCTAGGTATTGGAATGTTTCCGGGCATTTGAAGTAATTACAAAAAACACAAAACGATGATCATCTCAGAAGGCAGAGTTGCATGCGTCCGTACATCATAAAGAATTGTAAGACTGCTCAAGAAGTTCAATGGTCTAGTGGTCTGCAGCATACATGGCCAACAGGGCGCTGACTCAAGTTCAAATTTGAAAGATTTGCACACTAGGCCGCCTTCAAAGTGAGTAGGGGTTTTATAAGGTTATATAGGGGGTATGTAGGCTTATATCAAAGATGAGGGTACGGTGGGATCTTAATTCATGGTCCCTCAGATCGGCCACCAACTATATATATATATATATATGAGCTATAGTCTAAACTCCTAGTATCTTTCTTGAGACCCCCTACAATACTCCTCTACATAATTCCCTATATAACCCCCTTTGAGGAGTTTAGACTCTTGCTCATCAATCTTGTATATATATATATGTATACACTCACAAAGATTCCTGGGAAGCCCTCCCGCCCTAACCAGGATGAAAACCTGAGTTCCCCAAACCCTGAACCCTGAACCCGGAATTAAACCCTATACACTCACCCAAAACCATAATGAACATCTAAATTTAAATGGGGCTTAGGATCACCCGAAAAATGTGGGCAAGCTTATCAGAAGGATTATAATGATTATAATCTATTGGGGTCTATTTTCGGGGCCCCTCATTGACGGAAACCGCATTTGGGGCATAGGTAGCGGTAAGACTGCAAAGCACAAGCTTGGAACTTCAAATACGCAGCCAGAGCCCCAAACATGTCTTCAGGGGCCCCCACTTCGATAAACTGCCCACTTCGATTCCCACAAATGAATGCAAAAAAAGCTCAGGGTGCTCCGCTGCGTCCTCTTCTCCGAGCATCGTAGGCTTCAACGTTAAGACTTTCGATGTCCATGAGACTTTTTGGATATGAGACTTTTTTGATATGTGAAACTGGGGTTCAAGCCTCACACATAATTGTGGCAAGCCGTATAAGGGAATCAGAAACAGAGAAGTGAGCGCAGTCAGATATCGTGCCTGAGTCCCGCATGCCCCACACCAGTGAATACCCATGACTTTGCCCGGCCTCCCAGAAACGGCCAAGGTTGAACCCATTGACCTCAGTCAGAAGCTTCTTACTGTAGGGTTCAGGGTTTGGCTTCGGACTGAATCTTCCTGGGAGTTAGTAGGGTATAGGTTTTACAGGGAGTCTACAGGGAGTATAATCCGACAATTCCCTACTAAGCACCAGCAAGTAATGCTAGAAACTCTGAACCTCTAAGCTTGCAAACGGAAACTCTTCTGGGCCTTGGTGTCTATGAAGCATGAAGGGTTTAGGGTTTAGGGTGGACCCTCTGCCAAACCAAGTAAGATACACGTGCACATGCAAATGATGAGCCACTCCCCCCCTCCTTTGTACCAAAAAGTGCGCATATAACTCAATTAGACGCTAGGGAAAATGCTCGTTATTACAGAAGCGAAGTGATTAATGTGAGGGACAGCATGACAAGTCTGAACATCAAACAAACCTATCTCTAGCAAGTTTGGGCCTTTCTTGGATGCTCATGGGGATTTACTGGGTTGCTGTTCAGGAACTTAGTTTAAGTAGTGGGGAAGCGGGGAAACCAGATTAATTACGATATATACACATATATGTATATACCCATTGTGGCAACTTAATTTAAGTTCCTTAGCAGCAGACCGGGATAGCAGCTACTGATGACTGGGGGCATTCCCCACTGGTACTTGGGCCTGCGGGGCTTAAAACAACCAGTTGTAAGTAGGTTCTTAGTCCAACGAACCTCCAAGTACTCCCTCTGAAATCTGCACAACCCCACTTGAAAGCCTGCATGAACCTGCATGAGAGTCACAATCTTCATCCGAAATTCGGGCTGAGATTGTCTAGCCAGCGCGGTAATCTGCTAAATCTAAATCCAACATGCTACCCTCACTTGAGCAACGCTGAACCGTGTAGGCACTCAGGTTCCTAAGCCCTCAACACAGAACCTAAAACAAGTCAGCTTTGCGTATGCAACACTTTTCTTAAGAACCGACAAGTTGCGCAGGCAAAGCCTTTGGTAAAGCCTGGGCGAGCATTCGCAGAGAATAGCTACAGGAATCTAAGGACAAGTGCTGAGTAATGTGGGGTGGTCCCCATCCAGGATTTTGCGTGGTTTAGGAAATTCCTGCTTTGGGGCCTATGTGCAAATCACTTCGGCACTTGGGCCGCTAGGCATCGGCACAATGCTTCAAAAGTTGTTCACTATTCCTTGGTGGTTGTCTAAGTATCCTTAAGCCCTACATCCTAAACGCATAAACTCTGCGGTGCTGCTTGCTGAACCATGTTTACTTCTGCTGGTAGCTGTTGACCTCTGCATCCCTGGACAACCCCCAACTCTGGACCCAACAGGTCCATCTGAGAAGTTGCCACGATCTTGAAAAAGCAAACCCAGGGCCCTGACTTATACAAACTACACGAAACAGTCAGCTGCTTTGAGGATATGTTGGTGTTTCCACGTTGGGGATACCTTTTTGGGGAAGCCACAATAAGAATTATAATATCTTGAGGTCTATATTGGGTCCCCCGATTTTGGGAACCTACCATCTTCTTTCCCAATATCATAAGTGCTATTCTGTGGACCCCTATCAGAAGCAACCTATTATGTCTTTGAGAAGAAACCCATCTTCTTTGGGGGATCTCTCTAATGACCTAAAACCCCAGGTTCAACTCAAAACCCACGAATACTCACCCTAAACCCTAAACCCTAAATGGGCCCAGAAGCCTTTGAGGGCAAGGTAACCGTCTGCAGGCTGTTGCACATACAGGGAGTAGAGGAAGAACCTTAGCCACACAGGCGTGTAGGCTCTGGGGCTTACACTACAAGGCTAGGGGCAAAGGGTTCGTGTGGGAAAGCTCAATGTTTGGGCTCAGTGTTTGAGGTTGCATGAAGGTATACAGATTGCCCAAGCCCAAACCCTTGCCTCCCAAAAAACCAGAACCTGAACCACAAAACCCAGGGCCACTTGGGCGGTGGCGGGAGCTCCAGATAAGGCTTGACGTTTAGGGCTGATGACCTTCACGGGTTTGGGTTTAGGGTTTGGGGCTCAGGGCTTAGGATCTGAAAGTAAGGCCCCACCAACTCACTCGCCAATAGTATTCCTAGCGAACCCGAAATAAGCTCCCAATAAAATGTCAGCAACCAAGAACCCCAAACCCTTCAAACCTAGACCTCAGAACTCCTCGAAACACAGAGTTCGGAAGCAACTCTACAACCACAGAACAATACCACCAGCCCTGCAAACCCATCTCCTTCTCCGGGGGCCTTCACATGCCTTCCGTGCCAGCTTAGGCAGGTTTAAAACTTGAACCGCAAATCCAAAGAACCTTACAGACCAGGTAAGAGCATCCAGAACAGTTCCAGGCGGGTAGATACCAGGTGGGCGCCGCCATATAAGGTTCATAGAGTGCTCGTCTAAGGGTACTGGGGTCATATGAGGCTTACACCATGGGCCTCTTATACGAATATCCGCCTGGTAACTGCCCGAGGACACTTGACTGTTCTAGGAGGGAGTTTGCAAGAGTCCGTACAATAAGCAGTGTTGTATTCGGAAGAGGCCCCAAGTCCTGGCAGCAGCCAGAGGTCAGAAGTGCACTTCGGGGAATTGCTTGCAGTCGGAGACCCAAAAATCCAAGGGGCAGCACCATCCAAGGCATGCAACAGAATCTTTAATGTTCAGCCTTTCCTGGGTCCGCCCATGACTCTGCAGCAGCTTTCAGGCTTTCAGTAGTATTCCTGCGTTTTCTTGATGTTTTTGCGTGGGGTCCGGAGTCCTGAGCCCTGCCCTAGACCCTGAAGTAACCAAGCCCTCAACCATGCAAGCCACTATGTAACCCTGAACGACTATAGCCTGAAAAGTCCAAACTCTGAAGCTGAACCCCCAAAAATCTCTAAACAAAGCTTTACTCCAACGCTCAGGGGTGGAAGAACTTATGCAGCCCTATTTATCAAAAAGGGCCTCACCCCCCTCTATTCTTATTACATAGGCTCCGCCCCCCCCCTCCCCCCCCATCTCCTCCCCTGATTCCTTATAGGTACACATACACATATATATATATATACACACCCACATTCCTTCACGACATACCTGTAAACCCAAACCCTAAATCCTAATCGGACATAATAATGTGTATGTGTATACGTGTCCCTTCGCAGCAAACCCTTAATAAAATCTAGTCTAAACACAGTACCTCCCCGCATAACAAAGCTCACTCTTGAACTCTAAAATGTCCTTTCACAGCAATGCCTATGCACCCCCAAACCCCAAGTACTATAGATCCCTTCACAACAACGCCTAAACCTTTAACCCCAAATCCTACACATCTCATGCAATCCCTAAATCCTATGTTATGTGTGTGTCTATGTATATATATATATATACTCCCCGAAAGGAAGCCTAGACCCCAAACCCCAAATTGTATGTATCCCTCAAAAGGACGGCTAAATCCTAAAACCTCAAAACCCAAACACTAGACCCTTTAAAGCTAAAAGCCCTAAAACCCTAAACTCTAAAACCCTAATCCCCAAAAGCCCTAAACCCCAAAAGCCCTAAACCCCAAAATTCAAAAAAACCCTTAAAACCACCCAAAAAATCCTAAACCCTAAAACCCTAAAACCCAGCAAAGCGGCCTCGGACCTCGCTCCCAGGCTCCCTTCCGCGCTGCGGATCCCTGGCAGAGGCCCCAGGGAAGTCTTGCCAGGCTTGCCTCATCCTTGGAGAGGTTGAGGGTTTTTGGTTTAGGGTTTAGGGTTTAGGGGTGAGGGTTTAGGGTTTGGGGTTTAGGGTTTAGGGTTTAGGGTTTAGGTGTTCAAAGGACTTAGGGCTTAGGGTCTCTAAGGTTGAGGGGTTTAGGGCTAAAAGTTTTGGGTGTAGGGTTTAGGGAATAATGTAAAGACAAGAAAGGAGAAAGTTGAATTGTATTTTCAAACTTCCTCTCCTTCGCTAATGGCAAACAAGAGTGAAACTACTGTACGACGCCATGGTTCAGGGCCGACAAGTTTTAGAGTTGGGGATATGGGGGTTTCCGAAAACTAGGGGTACCTTTTGGGGGGTCC